AAACATGACATCCTAAAGCCTCTGCCCGCTTCCTTCTCAAAGAACTTCCCATGCTGTTCCACGTGTTCACCAGCAGTGGGAAGCAGAGAGTCGCTGCAGCTGGGAACCAAGAGCCCACGCTGCTCTTGCGCCCTCAGACCCATCTCCAAGCCCGACTGCCCAGCAGCTCCACATCATGTCAGGGTCTCAAGCAGGGCAGAGGGATGGCAACCATATCGTCAGAGATCGCCTGAGAAGCATTACCTCATAAGAATAGTGCTAAACCACGAGGCACTGGTCACATAAGCAATCTATGCAAGGCAAGATCACGCAACGGCAGGAAAAAACTTTCCAAATAGGTGAGGGGAAGGAGTATGAAACCCTATGCTTTAAATGACCTCAACTTTGCGTTAAAAAGAAAGTTCGAGCCGGGCTTGGTGAGTCAGCCTGTAATCCTGTGCCTTTGGGAGGCTGAGGTGAGTGGACTGCCTGAGCCCGCGGGTTCGAGACCCGCCTAGCAGCTTGGTGAGACCTCATCTCCACAATAAATCAAAAAATCAGCCGGGCGTGGTAGCACGCGCATGTAATTCCAGCTACTTGGAAGGCTGAGTGAAGGATCGCCGGAGCCCAGCAGGTCGAGGCTGCGGTGGCCAGGAGCGGCCACTGCACTCCAGTCCGGGCGACAGAGTGAGACTCCAACTCAAAAGAAAAAAAAAGAAAGTTCGCATATTATGGTGCTTGTGCAGAGACAAACAGATCAACAAAACAGAGAACAGTTTAAAAGTCTAGAAGCTGACCTAAATATATCTAGGACCTTGAAACATGATAAAGGGATATTACAAATCAGGAATAAAGAACAAATTCCAAAAAAAAGGAGTAGGGTCAGGCCCAGTGGCTTACACCTGTAATCTCAGCATTTTTGGGAGGCCAAGACAGGAGAATTGCTTCAGCCCAGGAGTTTGAGACCAACCTAGACAACATAGCAACACTTGTCTCTACAAAAAAAATTAGACAGGCATGATGGCACATACCTGTGGTCCCAGCTACTTGGGAGGCTAAGGCTGAAGGACTACTTGAGCCCAAAAGGTCAAAGCTGTGGTGAGTCGTGATCATACCAACGCACTCCAGCCTGGGTGACAGAGCAAAGTTCCAATTCAAAAAATAAAAATAAGCCAGGCACGGTGACTCATACCTATAATCCCAGCACTTTGGGAGGTCGAGGTAAGAGGGTTGCCTGAGTCCACGGGTTTGAGACCAGTCTGGGCAACTTGGCGAGACCTCATCTCTACAATAAATCAAAAAATTAGCCAGGTGTGGTGGAACATGCCTGTAGTTCCAGCTACTTGGAAGACTGAGAGGGAACGATCGCCTGAGCCCAGCAGGTTGAGGTGCGGTGGCCAGGAGTGTGCCACTGCCCTCCAATCTGGGCAACAGAGTGAAACTCCAAATCCAAAAAAATAAAATAAAAAATAAAAATAAATAAATTTTAGATCCAGAAAAATGAACACATTTTAAACAGAATTATAATACAAGTGAAGTTAAGGGTAAAAGTTATGAATCTAAAATACAAAGAAAACACCAGAAGCACAAAGAAACATGTAAATATGCTTAACCTAATTGAATAAGCAGGAAAATATGAAAATGAAAAAGCAGGCCAAGCATAGAGGCTCACGCCTATAATCACAGCACTTTGGGAGGTGGAAATGAGAGGATTGCCTGAGCCCATTGATTCGAGATCAGCCTGGGCAACTTGGTGAGACCCCATCTCTACAATAAATCAAAAAATTAGCCGGGCGTGGTGGCGTGTGCCTGAAGTTCCAGCTACTTGGAAGGATGAGGCAGAAGGATCGCCTGAGCTCAGAAGGTTGAGGCTGCGGTGGCAGGGAGCGTGCCACTGCCCTTCAGCCTGGGTGACAGAGTGAGACTCCTAATCAAAAAAAGAAAATGAAAAAGCATCAGATTAGTGAACACGTAAAAGTCTGAAAACACCAAGTGGTGAAGATAACATCAGGAAACTGTGTGGGACTATACACGTCTACCATGATGTGCAGAATAAGGTGGCTATATGCGGGCAAATTCCAAAGGAGCACCGCCTATGAATCAGCATTCCAACTCTTGTTACAGCTTTACAAACACACAGACATGCTCACAAAGGGACATGGGTTAGAATTTTCAGCACAGCACTGTGGGTAATACAGCTGCAGAAAAACATTTTTCTTTTTTTTCTTTATTTTTTTGAGTTGGAGTCTCACTCTGTCGCCCAGACTGGAGGGCAGTGGCCGCTCCCGGCCACCGCAGCCTCGACCTGCTGGGCTCCAGCGATCCTTCCGCCCCAGCCTTCCAAGTAGCCGGAATTACAGGCACGCACTACCATGCCTGGTTGATTTTTTGATTTATTGTAGAGATGAGGTCTCGCTGCCCAGGCGGGTCTCGAACCCACGGGCTCAGGCAATCCACTCACCTCAGCCTCCCAAAGGCGCGGGATTACAGGCTGAGCCACTGAGCCCGGCTAGAAAAACATTTTTTAAGCACTCCAAGTGTGTTCGCTGGTGACAAAATACATAAATAACGTGGTGAAGTAGTGTATCAAACGATATTGCAAATACTACCAAGCAGTTAAAACAAATGAACTAGGTATGTGCTGATGAACACGGCCAGGCCCGATCGCAATAACAAGCAAATGGCAAACAGTACACAGTGTATTCAAGTCAATGTATGCAAAACAATGATTATGGTTTGCGGATACATAAATACATCATAGAACTATAAAAACACAGTCTAGATACACAGCAGATTTGTTGTGGTAGCTGCCTCTTAGCAGGGGGCAGAAGTGAAACAGAATCAGACTCAGGAGAGAACATTAGGCACTTCAACATAAATGTTTGAAAAAAATTATTTTTATCTGAAGAACTAAAATATTAACATTTGCTTAAAGGGGGCATTATGTGGAGTTTTATATTATCCTCTGTACTACTCTGTAATTTTGCTATTATTATTGTTTATAGTACAACCAATAAGGCCAAAAGGAAACAGTACAATAGTTAAGAATATTCTACTCTGGGTAATAAGAATAAAGCCTCTTTTTTTTTTTGGCTGCTGCTGTACTGTTTTTCAATTTTTCATAATAAGTATACATTTATTTTAAAACAGAAAAAATCTTTTGAACAGAAAAAAATATACAGGTGTTAATTAAAGTGTACATTCTGATTTGCATAAATATCTGGTTTTGAAAGTTCTTGCAAACATGACTTGCGTACTTTCACTTCCCTGGTAAAATAACAGTTCCAAATAACCAAGATTGCTGGGCTCGGTGGCTCAGCCTGTAATCCCGCGTCTTTGGGAGGCTGTGGTGAGTGGATT